GCTGGGCATGGCTGTTAAGGTACAACGAAGAGCACAAAGCAACGAAGCGGAGCTCAATGTATTTTCAGGGGAACTGGAGCATTCCCACAGCTAGCTGGCAGTTCTGCTGCCTTCTGCTGCTCAGAAGCTGAGCAAAAGTCTGGAACTAGCTGGTAGGATCAAAGTAAAGGCCTCAGTTTCAAAGCTGGCTGCTTTTGCCAGGGTTGTGATTTTTTCCTGATGTGAAATGAGTGCAGTACTCTGGACTGCACTTTTCACAAGGTCAATTTGCAGTAGAGGGAAAAAGACAGCTCCTAAGGTGAAGGGGCTCAGAGTGAAAAGGCAGCACCTGCTGAAGGGAGGCATTCACAGCAAAGATTTGTACGCTCACCTTCCTACAAAGGTCTCTTCCACTCCGCTCAGGAAGGAGCCCGGAGGGAACCATGCTGAGGCCATGGGACTGTGCAGCATCCAGAGGGGCTGTGTGAGGTCTCTGGGTGACAGTCACCAAGTGGAGGTTTTCTAGCAGTTCTGGCCCATGCAATTTTGGCATTGCCATCTCCAAGCGCACATGCAGCTCTGAGATCTTATCCTGCTGCTCCTGCAGTTTGTCACTCTAGGAAGCAACAAGAAAAATGGGATCACAAACACGCTGATGCCAACTCTGTTGTAGAGGAGCCCAGAGGTTAGGCTGTACTCACCCTTGTTGTCTGGGGAAAAGGGGAAATGTGGGACAGGACCCTTCTAAGAAAACAGAGGCCAGAAATACCTGTAGTTTATACTGTTCCATGGCATCCTCCAGGGCAGCCAGGAAATCACGGTTCTCCTCCTCCAGGCGCTCCACTTGCTTCTGCAGTTTGGCCACTTGCTCATCTCTGATGGTCTCACATCCCTTCTCAGTGTTCACCTGCCCCCAAAATAAAAGAAATGCAGCTTCAGAATCTGCCTTTGACCTTCCCTCCCTGCCCTCATCTCCACAGGGGCATGGCAGCTCTGCAGACACGGTTTTGCAGAGATTTTCCTTCCCAAATTGAAATAAACACTAGAGTAAAAGCTGAATCCAACCTGTCCCTGCTTTCCAGGAGGGCAATGTCCTTCTGCCTGCCTATGGGTCTTGGCCAGTTACTCTGAGCCAGATCTTCCCTCCGCTCTGTGCCTTTGCTCTCTCCCAAAGCTGCTCTATTCAGTGGCAAATCAAATGAACATCACCTCCTCCCTGCCTCAGAGCTTCCATCCTCTTCATTTTCCCCAAATGACTAGAGGGGGTCATGCCAGACCACTAGAGTGTTTCATGGAGAAAATCCCCGCCTTTCCCTTTGCTAATATAGAGCCTCCCTGGCCGTCCTCCCTGGGCACCTCTGCTCTTAAAACACGTCTGCTTCTCCTCTCAGGTAACAAACAGGCTTTGGCAGCTGTGCTTTCTCAGGGGGCTGAGCGTGCAGCTAACACCCCAGTCGTCACCTGGGCTTTTGCCAGCTTGGAGCCTTGTCCCTCGGGGCTCTGCTCCTCCGCGGAGGTGCTCTCGATGCCGCTATCCAGCCCCGCTGAGGTGCGCTCGCTCCTCTCGCTTTAGCCACTCCTTGACCCGCAGCACCTGCTCCACAGTGAGGTTGCTGTCCTCCTGCAGCTCCATGAGCAGCCGGTACGCCGCGTCCGTGCACGTGCGGTAATGGGTGCACTCCGCGAGCAGGCGAGCCCCGGGCTCTTGCGAGCCCCGTTTGGCGGCGTCCGCGCGGTTGATGATGCGGGTCTCCGAGCGGTGCCGCTGCTCCAGGGCCTTCTGCAAGTTCTTTATCTGCAGATGAAGCTCTTCCACGTGCTCCGTCTCCTTGCGGCAGTTCACAACGGCCTTGTTCTGGATGTTCTGAGCCCGGCTGGCGTAATTCAGTGTGTTGAGGCTCTCATCAAAGTCAGAGGAGGACGGGCTGACACAGGCTATCATGACAGTCTGGGCGTTCCCCCCCAGGGAGTCTTTCAGGATCCTAGGCAGAATATGCATGTAATTAAAAGGGTTGAAATGCAGAATAATGCAGGAAACAGAGGGGTATCACCAACTATTTATTCACGAAGTTAGACCCAATGAAAATGATATTCTCTGTCTATAATCAGTTCAGCACTAGTGAAGTGACCCAAACGATTAGACAGGAATAACGTTTGACACATATCATTCTGGATAATTCCCAGGCTACTCCATTCTGTGATCACTGCTAGCTGCATGCCAGACACGTCCCAGGCCCATCTCCTACCTGGTGATTTTGGAGTCCCTGTAGGGAATGTGGCTACACTTTCTCCGAGGGTCTCCCAAGGCACTGATCACGTTGCCCAAGGCCAGCAGACCACTGTTGATCTGGATACTCTCCTTCAACCTCTCCCCTGTGTTTCCAGTCTTCACAATTCGCTCGGAGCCCGCAAGGTCCACAAAGTGAAACTTGGAAACCAGCACTTGGCCCGAGGCAGGGATGGAGGAGCGGTCGTGCAGGGTGAGGCGAGTGAGGCGGCCAGCCCCACGCCGCTGCTCCATGGTCACCGTGAAGATGGTGTGCGAGCGGCTCGACTGCGCGTTGATGTGGGTGGCTCCCGTGTGCTTGGCTGTGTTGCCCATCTCCAGCAGGCTCAAGACCTCGTCCAGCCCTTCCACTTCTGACTCTTTCACACCACACAGCACTGCAACGGCAAACGGAGCTGTCACTGCAAGCGACGGGCTGCCCAAGGAAATGTGCACAAAGGAGCAGCAGAGCCTGCAGTTTGGAGCAGCCCCAGAGTGCACTGAAGCAGCTTGCTCCTGTGAACCTTCTCGCACCATAAACCACTGTCCTCAGCTTCTCGCAAAGGCTGAGGTTCAGAACATCAAGCGGTCCCTTTCAGTCCCTCTTGTGAAGCCAGGTGCTACTGTTCTATTTGTATTATGCCCTGCGAAAACAGGCTTTTCGGACAGAGAAGGGTTAGGCATAGTAAGGTGCTGCAGGAGAATTGCGGAGAAGAAGACCTGGCTCCACTTTACAGGGTCATGCACACCAGAATGGCCTTGCATATGGGAAGAAAATGGAGCCCAAGAGCAGACACACATACCAATGTTCCCCTTGTCATCCTCGCGGATCTGGATGTCTTTGCTGGCCGTATCCACCTGCAGCAAGTCCCGAAACTCTTCCTTATAGACCTCCAGGTAGGACACTCTGACCGTGTAGTCAATTAGGTCATTCTCATCAATGAGCCTGAAGGTCTCGGCCATGGCTCGTGGGATGATGCCCTGCTCATCCTCATTGATGGCAGCTGCCAGAGAGATACGTGTACGTGGTCACCGGATGCACTGGGAGCCAGTGCCGGTTGTTGAGGGCTGTCTCACCACCGCTCACCAAAGGGTGGTTACAGTTGCTCGGCTGGTAGGGCTGGTGACACTAGTGGAGGCTGAGTTAGGGCGATGGAAGGGGACGGTGATGTTGGGGAGCAGTAGGGGATGGTGACATTGGCAGGACCGGTGTTATTGGTGAGCATGTGGATGCTGTGTTGACAGGGACTGGGTGGACAATAGGGGATGGTGGCACTGGTGAGGATGGCAGTGCTAGTCAGGATGGAGATGGTAGAGGGTAGCAGAGCTGGCAGGGATGGCAACAGCAGGGAGTTGAGGGGAGGGCAGCATTGACGGGATGGAGAAGGCAGGAACTGGGGGACACTCGGGGATGGTAACAGCAGGGGGGACAGTTTTGGCAGGGGATGGTGCTGCTGGTGGGACACTGACGGCAGGGGCCGGCAGATGCCAGGCGATGGCGGCACCGGAGAGGGGCCGGGGACACCGGGGGCACCCACCGACGC